TTGATTCAAGTGATCCAATCGTTAACCTTTTATCAGTTATCACTTTATGTTTCAATTGTATCAAGTAATATTACCGTTACTTGTATGAAAATTCTTTGTTTCTTTCAAATTTAAGTACAACCACAGGTATGTCTGTCACCGGTCAAAGCTGACGAAATACTCCACTCCAGAAAAAGAGTCCATGAAGAACTTTTGAATCGGAAAGGCGGAAACTATTAACAAGTAATAACCTGCTGGTCACGTCCGCAGGAGCGGAAAGTTCGCGCGGAACTTTAATTCGGGGATTATCCACGAGACTTGGTAACGGCAAAGCCACGAGACTTGGTAACGGCAGGCTGTTGCGTAACACATATTGTTTTATTTTTGTGGACTATAGGATAAGAAACCAAGGTCTAGAAACGTGAATGGCTGATCACAGATTAGTGAGGAAATATAGTTCTGGTGGTGGGAGAGCTGGTAAAACCAAGTGACTTTCATTCGCAATCTATACCTCTTTAAACTTACTGTTTGAGGGTCAAGACTTTGGCTTTGGAGTAATATAATCTATTACCGCAGATTTCCAGGCTTTCACTATAATTTACGCATTTACTTTATTAGGCGAAGGTTATTAATTTTTATATGCGAAGGTCTAGTATTAACTGGCATGCTTGTTTCAATTTTACTATCTTAATTGCTATCATTATTGATAATACTAGTGTAGTTTATATTAATAATAATAATAATTAATAATTATTATTATTAATTAATAATATTAATAATTATTGTCATTATTAATATTATTATTATTATTATTATCATTATTATTACTATTATTATTGTTATAATTATATTACAATTATAATGCTATCAGTTGGACTCGGCGTTGCCCTGGATTGAAATTCCGGCAAGTTCAGAATCCCGCCGTCCCTAATCCCAAATACTTCAATTTTATTCTCTGAGATTTCTTAAGATGTAATGCATCAAGCAAGCGTGCCAAACCCAACATTTAACTGACATGTGCGCGTAATAAATGTAGTTTCTTCGAATTTCGTCCGTAGTTTCTACTCAGAAACTATCGGTTTAACAGCACCGGGATCGAAAATACCTTTGTGTCTGTTTAATTAATCAAGCAGCCGATTCTGAAACGATGAATGTAAGAACTTCCATTATTTTTACGTCTCAACATTGGGTATGAAAAAACCCTTGCTTTCATACAGGATATAAGGTATTTAGAGCTTTATGAGTACAGAGTCATGCTATGAGTGGCTGAGATATCAGCCTGGTACCTATCTGTAGATAAGATAGCAGCGTAAGCCCCTACAGCCGTCGAGTGTTGGTCTGAGTCAGCGACTCCCGGAACTAAGGCCGTCTTTGAACTAACATCGCTGACGAGCGTGTGACACAATACTTATACACTGCAGGACTTACAGCACTCACGAGCGTGTGACACAATACTTATACACTGCAGGACTCACAGCACTCACGAGCGTGTGACACAATACTTATACACTGCAGGACTCACAACACTCACGAGCGTGTAACACAATACTTATACTCTGCAGGACTCACAACACTCACGTGAGTGTAATACAATACTTATACTCTGCAGGACTCACAACACTCACGAGCGTGTAACACAATACTTATACCCTGCAGGACTCACAACACTCACGAGAGTGTAATACAATACTTATACTCTGCAGGACTCACAACACTCACGAGCGTGCAATACAATACTTATACCATGCAGGACTCACAAACCTCACGAGCGTGTGATACAATACTTATACCATGCAGGACTCACAACACTCACGAGCGTGTAATACAATACTTATACCATACAGGACTCACAACACTCACGAGAGTGTAATACAATACTTATACACTGCAGGACTCGCAACACTCACGAGCGTGTAAAACAATACTTATACCATGCAGGACTCGCAACACTCACGAGCGTGTGTTACAATACTAGTGCTAGTGTTGTCTGATCACACAAGTCTCACGCCTCAAACACTTTGGTGCGGTGCTAGTGTTGTCTGATCACACAACTCTCACGCCTCAAACACCTTGGTGCGGTGCTAGTCACGCCTAAAACATCATCTGAGGCACTTGCTGTAAAAGCATTAGAAGACAGACTAAAATAACGGTTTAGCTAGCTTGTCTCACAAGGCCTGTACAGCAGAGCGTGCATTTGCTCAATTACAACTGAGGAGATACATGTATCTCTCGGCGCTCATGCACCCTCTAGTCTAGGGTGCCTTAACCAACATCGTTTAGTTCGTCCTAGCAAATAAATCTATAATGTTCTCTTCATTCGTTACTTACATTTTGCTTTCCACCCATGCGTTTTGGTCATTGAAGCCTAGACCATAAAATTGTATGAAGTCAGGATATGAACGCTGCTAGAGTCTATAAACTTTCGAACCAAACCAAGAGGTGGATCTTCGGGGGCTGTTTAAATATGAATTCGGAATTTATCCAACTCTAGGTTGAAAATTCATTGTGACATATATAAGTTTTAGTGTAAACTCTTTTTAGGTTAATAGCGTAGCTGCCTTCATCGGGCTAGTTTGCTGCGTCGGGCGCTTATCAGTGACCGTTGCCTCGCTGATATCTCATCGCGATAAGAGATTAACAGATAGCAGGAACACGGCAGTGATCAGCTCTGCGCACCGCAGTGTCCACCGAATCTTTTATCTGGTCGTAGCCTTCGTGCTCCTCCAGATATTGTTTTAGTCCAATAATATAGGCAGAGCTGTGTGATTCATTGTCTCTTTTGTCCGTTAGTGAAGAACCTGTTACCTCGTGCGAGACCTAGAGTACTCGACTCTTCATTTCATGTTGGAGGCTCAGTAGAATATCTGTTTCTTGGTGAAGGCTGAGTCGGAGAAAGACATTGATGGCGCAGTGGACAGATTCAGTCATTATTATGACTATAAGTGTATATATTTATGGCTATAAGTGTATAAGTATTTACAAGCTTCAAGGTAATGATATCCTCCCAGTCTGGTGCTGGGCATATGGTGACGGATATCATTGTTGTGTTATCATTAGTGTTATCATTCACTTGTTCTGTCGCTCCTCATCATCCGCACCACTCTCTCATCGTACGCATATTATTATGGTTCATCATGCACAACCGAACTCTTCAAAGATTGCAGCTCATCATAGAAAATTCATTGTACAAGATTAGAATAGCTTATTGATTCATCTGCATCTGCAACACCGCGTTTTGTAACCGGATCAGGCTCAAGTCAAGACAATTTATTTCAAACCTGACCGTTGCCCGCTCGACCTGGCAAAGCCTGCTCTGCCAAGTGAATGACAAAAATGACTATAAATGACTAAAAATGACTAAAAAATGACTAGAGAGTCTTGAAAATGTAAAAGTCACGCCATAAAAATTTAAGCGAGACCATCCAATTGCAGGCCTGGAACCACAATTAAGAACTCTGCAATTCCGTAAAATCATTCAATGCAAGGAGACAAAAACGACTTTAATATGCAATGTTGTGTGGGTAAACTCGCCATTGCCAACCAGTTCGGTTCGCCAGTACCACCTCGATTAGTTCCATGCCATTGAACGCCAACCAAAAGGAAAAATCTCATGGAAATAATGAATGTATCACAAGCAAAATATTGAGCTCACTGCACGACTAGTGGCATCAGCACTCGTGAAGACAAAGAGACCGCACTTATCAGTCGACACCAACCAATCTTACGCAAGGATTTATTAAAGTAACTGAGCTCATTTGTCACTGAAAATCCAAATATCAGTTGTGATTTAAACGGCGCATGTCAATGGATGTACTTGTTATGAGGCCTCAATCGATCGAGTTATTCACAACCAATATTCTGATATTGAACTGTCATATATTGCACATGGAAGCATCAGCAGCGCTCCATACAACATTGTGCTCATATTCAGACCCGCGCTAGTAGCATACACCGATGGTAGTCTTAACGTAGCGTCTCAATATCATAACCCCTGGCAGTCTTTACGTAGCGTCTCAATATCATAACGTCTTGCAGGCTTTACGTAGCGTCTCAATATCATAACCCCTGGCAGTCTTTACGTAGCGTCTCAATATCATAACGTCTTGCAGGCTTTACGTAGCGTCTCAATATCATAACCCCTGGCAGTCTTTACGTAGCGTCTCAATATCATAACGTCTTGCAGGCTTTACGTAGCGTCTCAATACCATAACCCCTGGCAGTCTTTACTTACCTGAATATATTACTAGGAAGTGACAGCAAGTCGTCAGTATGGGGAAAGGCAGCAAGAAGAGATCTTCCAGCTCTAAATGTAAGTTTACTGACAATATGTCTTAATATTAACCATATTTATAGCTACATTATAGTCGATCTTGTGGCGGCATAACGACCGTTCTGCGTGATAGCGTCAGTCCGGGCGCGGTAAATTAAGTTTTTGGGTTAATATGTTATATAAGTTTTCCCGACAATATATTAAGAATAATTGGGTTAATTCATGTTTGCTTGTATACACCGAAAGTAATAATATACATACTGTGGCTACCTTTTATTTATTACTCCACTTAATTATAAAGCATCACATGAAATGTAAGAAGACGCAGCACATATCAGTTTCCTGCGCGCACCCTGCCTTGCCAATAGTTCAGTGGCTCAACGTTTAAATAGTATAGTTTGATATTTATGATCAATTCATCAATGATCACGAAACTTAGGTTGAAGGAATGGCGCTAGTTGTTGACGTATGTAATGTTTAATTTTGATCTTAAGCTGTAGTCTATCACTGATAAGCTTTTTAGTCATTAATTCTGATTAGGGAAATTTCCGAAATGCCAAGAAATTAATTCGATGGATCAACAATGACTCGATAAAGGGATATTAGACTATATAACCACTCATTGAGGTTAATTTACTAATTCATTGATTGTATTGCTAATTAAGTAATCCCCTATTTCTGCAAGTTACCAGCCTCAGTGTAGCGTTCAGTTCAGGATTGGACCGAAAGGTCTTGAAGGGCAGGGAACTCTTCTTCGTGTTCCATTTCTATGCCGCAGTTAATTACCTGCAGGCAATTGAAGGAGATTTAATATATTTTGTGAGTGTTTGGTGAATGTTTAAAATAACAATGAATTTGTTTTGTTTTCAGCACATGTGGAGTCCGGCGCCAGCTCGTCCGGTGAGTACTGGAGACCGTAGACCCCCACCGCAGGATGAGGGGATGTTGGTCTAGTGGGTACTGGGGACCGTAGACCTCCCAACGCAGGGTGAGGGGTGCTGGTCTAGTGGGTGCTGGGGACCGTAGACCTCTCATCGCAGGGTGTGGGATGCTGGTCTAGTGGGTACTGGGGAGTGGGGACTGTAGACCCCCACCGCAGGGTGTGGGGATGTTGGTCTAGTGGGTACTGGGGACCGTAGACCCCCCACAGGGTGTGGGGATGTTAGTATCACGATGCTACTACTGTGGGTCTTTAGCAGATATGGAAACCAATTAATTAACTCAATTACTTTAGTGTGAAAATATAATGCTAGGGCTTCAACACCTTGTTTTCTTTTATATTAATTAGAATTCCTCTTGATGATATACATTAGGTGCCCAATATAATTATCAGACGTCTCATACAAATACGAAAAATGCTGTACAATCGGCGATGGATTCTGTATGACACTCATACAAAAGGAGTCTCATCCAATTAACTATGAACCTCACGATACCCTAATACCAAGTAACCTAATTACTATGTTCCCTCCATCGGTAATATCTCATTTGGTATGTACTATCTTGTTTTGACATATTCTATGTAACTGGCTACATCCAATTGTTTAAATATTAAAATATTATTCCTGAATGAACTTATAACGATGCAAACCTTTGGATGAATCCAAAGCAGGAAATCGCCAACGACATTCCCGACTACCGCGCCTGACGGTGCAAGCTACAATAACTCAATTCTAGATCATAATTCCGATGCCGGTATTAGTCCATATAAATGACTGAATAACAAGCTGCGAAAGATTGCCATAATCGGAGAACGATTAACAAAAAATTTATTCCTATTTTATAAGGAAATTATTGTGTGGGAAGAGTGCGCAATGATAAACATTTACTTAATGTGTTACATGCTGGAATTTTTGGACCAGGTATCGCCCCGTCGCAGGGAGTTGAAGAAATATGCGTGTCTGGCCCCACATTATTGTCTGATACTACCGGCCCCTAAAATTTAGAGTGTCCGTGCAAGGAACATGAGCAAACAAGAACCCTGCTAATTTTATTCCTTAGTATAAAGCTTAAATTAATTATTTTATGTAATGTGGAGATATAAGTGAATTATTTCCTCTGTAATGAACAGGCGACATTGCCAAGGTGCCGAAGCCGGTGATGGTCGCGTTCATCGGAATTGAGCTCATCTTCGGCCTGGTCTTCATCATCGTCGGCAGCCTCAACGTCGACAAGTGTAACATCGACAAAATGATACCAATCTGGCTCATCATGATGGGTGAGTGGACCTGTCATCGAAATGATACCAATCTCGCTCATCATGATGGGTGAGTGGACTTGTCATTAAAATGGTCCCACTATCATGATGGGTGAGTGGACCTGTCATTAAAATGGTCCCACCATCATGGCGGTTGAGTGGACCCACCGAAAACACCAGGCTTAATCAGCCCACAGGTGTATATGTATAAGGTAACGCAGGTTGATCTCTCTTAGCGATTGATAGATGCAGTGACCGCTTGCTACTTAATTGGAGCTTCGGTTATCGCTGCTACAGTAGTTCGCAGATTGTTCAAAAATTGTATATCTCAATAATAATATCTGTAAAAAGAATCAACATAATTCAGTAATGCCGCGAGCATTGCTCGCGGGCTATCAGAAGTCAGCGATTGCCCGCGCAGTTCAGAGCACAAGACATTGACTGGCATGATGATGTTGAGCAAGCAAGTTGACTTTCTGGACATGCTGAGGGCAGCAATGGCTGTGCGTGGTGTACGTCGCACGCCATTGGATCAACTGAATGAAAGGTTTGCTTCATGAAAGTTACGTGTATATCCGAGAAACCGCCTCGACATCGTTCACCGATGACGTTATGCAAGTTTCAATTGTCTTAGAACGCGTTTTTTTTTTGTTACGGAGATACCTTATCGCTGGGCATATCGGACCAGCGAGTAGAGGAGCTCAGCTTCGATTTCGTTAGTCCAGTAGTCCCGAAGGTTGGCTGTAAGCTTTTCTTCAATGTCTTAATTATGACAATTCCTCGTGATGAACGATGCTTGCTTATAATCAACCACGCTTGTATGCAGGTGTGGTGTACTTGGTCACGGGCGTGCATGAGTTCCTTCAGTTCCTGCGCTCCAACAAACCTGCGCACGCCAACAAAGGAAGAGGCTTCATCTCCCTCATCATCACCGGCGTCCTGACCCTCATAACCGTCGCCCTCTTCGTCGCAGGTGAGGGAACATAGGAAGAGGGTTCGTCTCTCTCGTCATCACCGTCCACGATTGCCAGAGAGCAGTGGTCCCAAAACTGACCAGTTTGTTGTGCTGCGGCCATCATTCTATAGCTCCTATATCCACTTCGTAGTATATCACTCTCTCACGGAAGTATTTTCAACTACAATTGAATAAGAACATCATATTTCCACTTGTTAATAACATTATTGAAAGTAAATCCTGAAAAATTTACAACAACATTCATGAATTGCACCTAACAATATCATTCTGCATTCTATGACTTCACATGAATTCTTCCACTGATTATCGTGGATGGTTAGAGCGTTATTTTGCGAGGCTCAAATAAGTAGCTGGTCAGCCCGCGCTCTGGACGCCAACACTTAAATGACCTGAACAAGCAGGCACCCTCGACGCCGTCTGCCGCGACGCCTCGATGGTACATAATGAGTGGTTAGTGAGAGTAACTATTGTGGTATCACAGGTATTGCTGCCATATCAACCTCAGGTAACGTGTTCGTGTACCGGGCGTGGAGTGTGGGACCGGATTTCGGGCACTACTGGTTCGAGAACGGCTGCGACATGGGCGCCTACATGCTCTCCTTCGTGGCCGTGATCTTCATGGACGTGTTATTCGGAGTCATCATGATTGGCATCTTAGCTTACGCTTGCTGCCACTGCTTCTGCAAGAAATAGTTACAGCTGCTGCCACTGCTTCTGCAAGAAATAGTTACCGCTGCTGCCACTGCTTCTGCAAGAAATAGTTACAGCTGCTGCCACTGCTTCTGCAAGAAATAGTTACCGCTGCTGCCACTGCTTCTGCAAGAAATAGTTACAGCTGCTGCCACTGCCTCTGCAAGAAATAGTTACAGCTGCTGCAACTGCTTCTGCAAGAAAGAGTTTACCAAATTTTTTTAAAATATTCTATCAATAGAGGAAGAAGATATCATCATATTCGAAAACTCTTTTAAAAACTGTAATCTTCTTTCGATCGGAGCATTTGAGAAGAATAATACAGAACGTACAACGCAAACTGATTTACAGCAAAACTAAAAAATTGAAGTTTAATTACTTGTAACATTGCTTTCAGCGTCTAGCCTTCATGCTACGTCGGTGGCCAGAATAAAGTCGCCTTTAAATTTATCAATCATGTATAAGAACTCAAAAATTTTACCACTATTAATAAGTTCGATTACTGAAGTGATTTTAAATGTAAATATTTTGGAGTAGCTGGTAAGCTCTAGATTTTAAACGTACTATTAATAATTGTCACTCATGGATGTCGCAAAATGTTCAAGACAAGCAAGCTCCGCACTTTTTAGTTCAGGCAAAAATGCTCAATTTTTAATTCAGACATTACTATGCTCCCGCCAGGAGGGGTGGGACAGGCGCATGCCAGCTCGCCAGGCACATATTAATTTCGTAATAAAATATATACATTTTTAATGGGAGCTAATTTCCAGGTGTACAAAAAAATTATGAAATAAAATGAGAGTATTTTTTGAGCTGCGACACCTAGCATGAGTGCGACATCGTTAGTCCTTCAGTCAACCATCGTTAAGGCTTTACTACGAAAGGAATACTAAATTGTGAGCCCGCAACCCAACGTTGCGCTGTACAGTACTGAGGGACGACTGTAGAACTTGTGATCGTCACAAGATCTACTGATCTTCTGGAGCTGATCATGTAACAGCAGTTGTGGAGACAGCCAGGTTGGGTGGAGCGATTAAGCCCATGAGCGATGGAGATGCTTAATATTTTTGTTATCATTACACAATGAGCGATTGCCAATAATTGTCTTCGATGCTTACTGCATTGCTATTTACAATAGATAAGCTACAATTTGATACTTGCTAATAAAGGAATACATTCTACGATTGAGTTCATTGTCCTATGGGAGGCAACATCGCTAGGTATCAGTTTGTCCCTTCACTTCTTCCCCCTTTAAATAGAGGACTGAAGTTCTACTAAACACGATGACATAATTACAAAATCTGTCGCTATTGTAGAGCTATGCAATAAAAATCTGCCTTATTGTACGCTAGTTCGAAGTGTAAGACAAACGACGGTATTTCTAATCTGATAGCAGATCAATGAAAGATTTTCTCAGATGAGGGCAAGGCTAACGTTCTTAATCAGCTATTTAGCAACGGGTTAACAGATGAGAACTCAACAGTAATCCAGTTATCGAGGAGCGCCCAGTAGGCTCGAAGCTAAAAGGTTTTGAAATATACGAAGATGTTCTCAAGTGCTTGGCCGCTCTGAATCCCAACAAGTCATGTGGACCAGGCGGCTTCCTCCCAAGATTGCTCAAAGAATTAGCAATCGTCCTGGAAGGCCTTTTAACAGCGTTTTTTCAAAAAACCTTGAACGAAGGGACTTTGCCGGCCGATTGAAAAGAAGCGCAAGTGGAACCATTCTTCAAAAAAGCTAACAAAAGTAGCCACGGTAACTATCGCCCTGCATGTCAGTCTGACAAGTGTTGTTTGTAAGGTAATGGAATCTGTTTTGAGGGATAGGATTATCGATCACTTGACTGTTCACCATCGCCTATCAGACTGTCAATATGATCTTATTGCCGGTAGATCCGGCTCCACTAGTCTCTTGTCTACGTTGAACGAATGGACTCGCCTGCAGGACGAAAGAGAGCCAGTGGATGCATTGTACCTCGATTTTGCCAAAACATTTGACAGTATTCCGCATGAGTGGCTGTTGCGTAAAGTGATGTCTCTGGGAATTGAGGGAAACGTACTTCAATGGATCAGAGATTTTCCAGTAGGTAGACGACAACGTGTCAGCATGAACGGAACCGTGTCAGACTGGGCGTCAGTGCGCAGTGGCGTGCCACATGGAAGCGTTCATGGGCCTATTTTGTTCGTTGCTTTTATAAACGACCTGCCAGAAGTAGTGTCCAGCGTGTGCTCCATGTATGCCGATGGACACAAAAGTTTATAAAACAGTGAAGGATACGTCAAATAAAGCGCAATTGCAAGATGATCTTGACTGTTTAGGGTGAGCATGTAGGTCAAAGTCTATTTTCTATATTTAGGTAAGGATCATATCCAAACTTGGTACACATATGTAGAATGGAAAATGACGACTATTTTGTTCGCGTGAATTTTTCGAAAAATGAAAGAAAACGTGAAATTCATAGAAAACGGCCAAAAAGGGGGTACTCTAATAAAAAAATTAATAACTGTTGCAAATCACATGCTACAACATTGAGACCCGTATCATTCGATGCGTAAAGACCATATCTAGCGATTGTCGGGCCACTTTTTCAATTTTTTATTGGTTGACTTGTTATGACGATTTTTCTGAAAAATTTCGATTTACCCCCACTTTTTGAATTTTTCCCCCTTTTTTCGAAATATTTTATTTTCAAAACTAAAACGATATTGAAAAAATGGCACGAGAATCGCTAGATATTTTAATTGCGAATCGAATGGTATATGTCTCATTTCTGTAGCTTTAAAACACTAGGAGTTATTAGGTTTGCCATGACAATAAGCTAACTTTTCAGGACAGCCCGACAAAGTCCCGTGCGCCTCGAAGTAGGCACTCAATGTATCAAGGATACGAAACTAAACGTTACTGGAGATTGTACCAGTCAAGCATGGTGGGAGCGAGTGCTTGCACACATCCCACCTCCCACAGCTAGCACACAGGGGGGTAACTAAGCTCTATTTCCACCAGCCACTCTATTTATGTGCGACGCAGCTAATTTTCCTCGATCTAATTTCTTAAAGAACTCCCCCACTCCCTTGCGAAACCTCTAGTGAACGCATAAAATAACGTACAGAGATGGTAATGGTACCGTTGGATAGCTCAGAATGTCAGCTTTAATATGAGACTAAAAACCGGAAAAGCCGAAATCCAAAATTTTTACCTACATGCTCCCCTTAACTGGGCTGATACGTGGCAGCTGCGGTTTCATGCTGACAAGTGTAAAGTACTTCACCTCGGGAAGAACAATGAGCAGCAAGATTTCAGTATGAGAAGACATGGTTGCAGCAAGAGAGTAATGATTGAGAATTCTAGCGCCGAAAAAATTTGGAAGTTTATATCGACAAGAGTTGAAATTTTCTAGGCATATTGAAACGCAAGCTAATAAATCCAATAAACTACTTGGACTGATCGCTCTTACGAGTTGTTAGATGCTGATAGAAGCGAAGAAGCTGTTGTTTGTCGCTTTCGCGCGTTCAAACCTAGAGCTTGGAAACGCCGTGTGGTCACCAAAACTTGAAAAGGATAAAAATTTAATAGAGAGTGTTCAAAGACGTGCAACAAGGATATTCAATGCTTGAACGACAAGTCTTGCGAAGAAATATTAAAGATTTTAAAGCTTCCATGCATCTGCTATCGACGAGTGTTTGGTGACCTCATTGAAGTATACAAGTATACAGACGATTGTATAATACAAGGTCCCAGAAGGATTACTAGATTACTAGAAAAAAGTGCGTTGCAACTCATCGAGGCGACGATATTTCTTCTCACTTCGAGTCACCGATATGTGGAACAGCCTCCCTGATGATATTGCCGACGGTCCGAGTATGAACGCATTCAAGAACAGACTAGATAAAGTTATGGAGAAATATATGTTCAGACTTGAAATACCTAGCACTATATCAAATCTGGTATAAATCTATTAGCAATCTAATACTAACGTCAGTTTTGAAAAGATCCAATCAAAAGTACCGTTTTTAGATTTCCTGTGAACAAGTGTCGAAAAATACGTACATGCATAGCCGATAGGCCACATCAGGCATACTCTTCAGCGCCGACATATCGCTATGATATGATACAATAATTCGAGTGACCGAAATCGAAGCTAAGTCCAGTGCGACGTCGGACACGAGTAGCTTCAGGCAATGAAAAGCTAGCGCTCATAATCGAAATTCATTCCCGTCACTTGAAGGGATTTGACTTGAGAGTTCCCAAAAGCTCCTCTTACAATCTTACAGTACTGTGATGGACTCATTTTTGCTGTGTAATGATCGTTCCTGACCTGTAATACTGAACTGACTATTACTTATACGAGCACTTAAGAAAAAACCCCTGCGCTAACACCAAGCCCGTGTCCGTCCTTTCTAACCCCTGCAATAACACCAAGCCCGTGTCCGCCCTTTCTAACCCCTGCAATAACACCAAGCCCGTGTCCGCCCTTTCTAACCCCTGCATTTTGCCTTCTCCGGAAAAAGAATCCAGTTGGATGTCGGATTTATTATAAGAAATTAATGGTGGCAGCAGTAAACGAATAAGTTTAGACATAATTTTATTTTAACGGATTTTTTCTCTCAAAACATTTCTTTTAATTTATGTTTCCTGGGTTGGCTTTGGCATTTTAAAGTCGTTACCAACTTACCGCCTTCGTGACTTATGAATTAGGATTTATATAATGTACTTTCTTTTAACGTGGTTTCCCTAATATAGTTTTAAAAACATTGTTGAAGTGCACGAATGACCCGTCGTATTCACAAGAAACTTTCAATGATGATGCAACACAAACCCTGCACCTACAGGCGTCCTTGTCACGCCTCCACATAGATCGTTACGAGTCAATAATCAATGACACCTTAGACTGGCGTTAAGGTCACTTGCAGAGACCGAATACAGTTGACAAAATTACGATTTTAGAACCAATTTCTGCATATGCCAGAAATATATGGACATTGAAATATTTACCTTATATCCATTAAGTTATTAGTCCTTATTAGTTTATCAGAACTGCAGCGATGCTCACAAGCCTACTTAATTTAAATTATTTTAAGAACACACTGACATCTCACATTAAGGTGTCAGTCAGTCATGAAAAGATCCGTTCAAATGACACGATTTTAGTTCTGTGAACAAGGCACGAAAAGGAGAAGAATCGGCGACAGGCCACATCAGGCCTACACTTCAGCGCCGAGATCACTATGTTATGTTATGTAAGGTGGACCACGAGAGGCATTACGATGGTTAACCTAAACTGTTTAAAAAGTAGCAATTGCAATCTAAAACGAAACCGAAAACACTTGGCGCACTCATGACATCATTATGTTTACAAATGCAATCGTTAGGGCTCGGTTTCATATTGTTCTTAAGATAAATGCTGCAAGTTGTCGTACCTTACAAACAAGTTTCAAAGCAATAAGGCTTGATCAGTTCAAGTACGCATTGCAACCTCAAAAAAGCTGGAAAATTGAAAAAGTTAGGGAATTGACGGAATAGCTTTTCCAACCACTGCGTTACCTGTAGCTCCACTTCATAGGCTTCGTCCTCCCTCCCAAAAATGCTGCGCTGTGGCCTTGTTGCACCATTTGTACACGTAACAGTTATCTGTTATTAGTTCATTCACTACTCCGTCAGGCACCCTTTGTATACGTAGTAGTTATCGGTTATTAGTTCATTCATTACTCCGTCTCACCCTTTGTATACGTAGTAGTTATCGGTTATTAGTTCATTCATTACTCCGGCACCCTTTGTATACGTAGTAGTTATCGGTTATTAGTTCATTCATTACTCCGTCTTGCACCCTTTGTATACGTAGTAGTCATCGGTTATTAGTTCATTCACTACTCCGTCAGGCACCCTTTGTATACGTAGTAGTTATCGGTTATTAGTTCATTCGTTACTCCGTCTTGCACCCTTTGTATACGTAGTAGTTATCGGTTATTCTACGAATACGAGATAGGCGGACAATAGTAGTTATCGGTTATTCTACGAATACGAGGTAGGCAGACAAGGAGGTTGCTATGCCCACGTGTCGGTCGCCATGCCCACGGCTCTGGACTCGAGGACAACAAAGCCTCAGTAGAGTAGCGTGCACTGGCGCACACACATCACACTCTCCTGTTCCTTACATTGTTTAGGCATTGTTAACGCATTATTTACGGGCGCAACATGATTGATTATGTAAATTCCACATCAGTGACGTGAAGTTTGCACTCACGGACTTCGGTAGCCGCGGCGCAGGTAAGACCAGCGTCGTGCAGAATTCAGTGTGATATTTCCTATCTGAACGACTCGTGATAGCATTTATTGTGATGTAGATATATACGTGTTGATTAAACCAGAGCCTGGAATAATTTCAAGAGGTGTTCTACTTCATGAAGGTATAATTAAGTATGAACTGGAAGCGTTATGGGAAAGCAGATCAAAATATTCTGTCGACTCACTTCCCTTCAATATTTCGTAGGAAGGCGTGAGGACGGCCGGTCGCTGCCGTCTGGCCCAGGAAGGAACTCGTCATGCTCAGTACTGCTTTCGTCGCCAGCTGTAGTCATGCTTAAGCCATCCAGTGAGTGACGTGTTCACCTGCTGGAGTCATGCTTAAGCCATCCAGTGAGTGACGTGTTCACCAGCTGGAGTCAAGCTTAAGTAGTACAATGAATATGCCCGCCAAAATGCGCATCAGGAATAATTTGCAGAGGTTTTATATTGCATGAAGGAAATTTAGGTATGAGCCGTTAGCGTTTTGTGGAAGCAGACTTTGCCCCATCACGGACTACGAAGTTTACTCGTTGTGGAAAGCTAGCACACGATTCTAGCTGCCGATGACTGAAGATCCTCGGTACGAATGCCAAGCGTTTAAAATAATTAATGGCAAACAATTTCCATAACGGATGAAAACGTTTTTAATTTCGGATGACAAGCATTTCCCATAACGAATTACAAGCGTTTTTTATTTACGGATGACAAGCACTTTCTATAATAAATGACATTCGTTTCTGTTTACGGATGATAAACGTTTCCTATTACAGACGACAACCGCCACTGCAGTTTGGCGGTAGAGACCTTCATCAAGACGAGCCTGGGCGTCGCGACGCTCGTGGTCGGCGTCCAGAACATAGAGAGATGCAACATCGACCCTCTCATCCCCATCATGCTGATAGTGAACGGTTAGTGACCTGTCATGCTGATAGTGAACGGTTAGTGACCTCTCATGCTGATAGTGAACGGTTAGTGACCTGTCATGCTGATAGTGAACGGTTGGTGACTTGTCATGCTGATAGTGAACGGTTTGTGACCTGTCATGCTGATAGTGAACAGTTAGTGGCCTGTTATGTTGATAGTGAATGGTTAGTGACCTGTCATGCTGATAGTGAACGGTAAGTGACCGGCCAAAACACTGTGGCCTTTGTAATGATAAATAGTCTCAACAATATAAGAGCCTGATATATGTTTGTTTGTGGTTCTTTATGCTCGATTTGCAAGAAAGCTAGCTGGAAATGAAAGCTTTAGTTCTATCAAAGGATAAATTTATTTTAAACAATTTTGCCTCATCGTTTTGTCTTCTCTGCTACAAAAATAAGTGACAAACAAAATGAGTCTAGATTGAATACATATAATAAACGTCTACCTGAATTGTGTGTGGTACCATGCGTGTGGTACCCGACGTGTGTGTGGCACTAGGCGTGTGGTACCTGACGTGTGTGTGGTACCAGGCGTGTGGTACCTGACGTGTGGTACCAGACATGTGGTACCTGACGTGTTTGTGGTACTGACGTGTAGTACCTGACGTGTACCAGGCGTGTGGTACCTGACGTGTTTGTGGTACTGACGTGTAGTACCTGACGTGTGGTACCAGGCGTGTGGTACCTGACGTGTACCAGGCGTGTGGTACCTGACGTGTGTGTGGTACCAGGCGTGTGGTACCTGACCAGCGTGGTGCTGGAGCTGGTGCTGAACTGCTGCGTGCTGTGCACCAACAAGCCAGGCTTCGTGCTGCTGCTCTACGCTCAGAAGGCCGTCTTCTCGCTCCTCTTCCTCGCCATCGTCGTCACGGGTGAACATCCAAGCTATTAAAATTTCTTAGGATCCACGCTATTGAAATTCTTATAGGATTTCTATGGGATATGCTCAAAATTTAATAATTATTGAGACATATTGATGATAGAAAAATTATCGGTCACCATTTAAGGCGGCCCGTTGCACATGGCAATGCCATCTTACCAGGTACAGGGTAAGATTAAAGCGTTCTCTCCTGGCCTAAAATAGCCATAATTGGAAGTCCAGACAACCTCTGTTTAGTCTCCAGTCTCGATGGAGGCTGCGGAAGGTGGAGCTGTGAAATTTTATATAAGATAATATTGATTGTGCAGCATTAAAGTGGGCAGGACGAAGCGGTCCCCTCTTTATTGAGAGTTGAAATAGGACCTGCACGACACGAACTATGTAGAGGTACAGTTAAGCATACTGTGAAGTCAATAGCCAAGAAATAGAATAAAACGTTAAAAACTTGATGTGTAGCTTAATGAAATTTTTGTCCACCAGATAACGTGTTCGTGTCTACCAGACAACGTGTTCGTGTCCGCCAGATAACGTGTTCGTGTCCACCAATTAACGTGTTCGTGTCTACCAGATAACGTGTTCGTGTCTACCAGATAACGTGTTCGTGTCTACCAGATAACGTGTTCGTGTCTACCAGATAACGTGCTCGTGTCCACCTGACAACGTGTTCGTGTACACCAGATAACGTGTTCGTGTCCACCAGATAACGTGTTCGTGTCTACCAGATAACGTGTTCGTGTCCACCAGGCAACGTGTTCGTGTCCACCAGATGACGTGTACGAGTTAACGTGATAACGTTCGTGTCCACCAGATAACGTGTTCGTGTCCACCAGATAACGTGTTCGTGTTCACGGCGTGGAGGGAGGGTCCAGACTACTACAACTTGGAGCAGCACAAAGGCTGCGACCAAACCACCTTCGTGCTGTCCATGGTGCTGGTCATCCTCGCCGACATTACCCTGTGTCTGGCGGTGCTGGTGGTGGCCTGCGTCTGTTGCTGCTTCTCTGGGGCGTTACTTTTCGTCACAAGACCGGCACGTGAGGCCAGGAATAAGGTGCAGCAAGAACCTCCTGACAGTTCAACTCCTCGACTACATGAAGACTTACCTGCATCTGTGGACGCTGAAGTCAAAAGTAACAAAGCAGTTCAGAACAATTAAGCCAAATGAAAGTTGCACGGGAATGAATGTTTTATTTTGTGAATAAAGCGGCGATTGAAGATTCTTGCGAGCCTACGACGGGTTTGCTTGTTCTTCAGGATGGGTTGGACTAGAGCGCCCCGCTCACAAATAAATTTTGTGGTCTCAAGCTCCGTATAGTTATACCTATCGAAAAGTTCAATAATAATATCTATTTATAAACGGGAATAAACCTCCATAGCGAGGTCCATACCTAAATATTGAGGCTCGTGCATTGGAAATACATTTCCCTGCCATGAACTATAACTTGCATTGCAGTCCATGCGCCACGAGACGTCCATCTCACATTTCTTCATAAATAAATTTGATACATTAATATACATTACATTACATTGATACATTAAACATTATTAATAGACGGTGTGCTATAAATATTTGCAGGCTCGAAATTTCGGCCACCAATTTCAGCTCAGGCATTATAATACTCTATATAAGCGTCAATGTTACACCTAATAATAATATAGTTAACAATAACCAGAACAATTAAGCTTAAATGAACTATAAGAATTCTGAGCGTCTCGCCCAGTTTGATTACACCCACAAAACCGAGTCCCACAGCAACTACCAGCAACATTATATGTGATCATGTGAATTAGATTGTAAATAATTTACTTGGTAGTTTGAGTAGTATATTTAATTAATTTTCCGCTACGATGAAGTGTTTCATTCGCACTAATTCTCATGATGGTGCTACTCGCTTCTGTTATTTGCTGTTCCTTGCTGTGCGTTAGAAGTAATAGAAAATTACATAATGATAGAATTAATTATTTTGGAAAAATGATAGAATTACTAGAATATTTGAATTAATATAAAAGTTTTTTATGAAAACAAAAAATATCAACTTTGTAAAATCCTTAATTTTTGTCCTCTGTACATTTGCAATGGGAATAAATTATGAATGCAGACTTGAAGCTTTGCTAATTCATCAGTGAAGTAAACTTTCCAGCTGCAGCGCTGCCGTCGCTGCTGCTGAGACAGCAAGAACCTATTGTTTTTGCTAAAGAAGTAACAAAATACCCATCCTTGCATCTCATGTGTCAAACAAACAAGAACAAAAACATGGAGGAACCAACATATCTACTCTTCATCTGCAGAATATATCTTTCCTGAGCCCATTCTTGCGGACCCATAAATATCATCCACGTTGATGAAATTCATCAAGGACAAAGATACAAAGTCAAAAAACATACCGAATGACTTGGAGTTCCTCAGCAATTGTATAATTGTAATTGTCAGCAATTGGGAATAAAATTTGTTTCTATTACTATGAGATTGAAGTGTAAAACGTTCAAGAACATCTTTCAACGCTTCTGATTACGGAAGTGACTTGCTATGCCACGCTATTATGCGCTGCTATCAAAAAAATCGTGTTCGTAAGACGAAATTACGACCGATTTAATTGACTTTTGTCCATGAGTTCGCCAGAATTTAAGAAACGACCACCAACTCGTACACACTTCCATTCAACATCACGCCCTGAAATAAGCAAGTTGGGCGGAGTGTTCGTTATTGACAGGCGTTCCATTAGATGTTCATTACAACTGCTGCGGCGAACGTTACCCATGTCACCTGAGTTCTCCCGTGAGCTTAGACCGTAACTGTCATGGTCAATTATAACAGTCTGCGTGTACAGCAAAGTAGACCGGCACGATGCCAACCTAAACCTTTTAGGTGTCTGTAGTAACCGTACTCAGTTTAGCTATTAAGATGTCTCATAAGATAGTTTTGTTCTATTGTTCTACTGCGATCGAACCATTGGAATTACTTGCTGACAAATTGCAATATGAGAGCTTCAGGGTTGCTGAAGTTACTATAGGTTTCCAAGGGTAAAAAAAAAACAAATTTGTTCGAAAAACGTTTTTGTGATATAAAGCGAGTTCATGGCATATATTCTGAGAAAAAAACTAACCCCCGATAAAATAATATTCACATCTCTATTTTTTAAAAGCATTAGCACTATATATTTCCTGGCCTACTGTAGATCAGAAAGTATTTATTCGATTCGACTGTAGAGCTGGACTAATAAATTTAGACAAATTTAGACTTTGAGTTCTACAATATTATTTGCAGCACATCGTTACGTCATTGTCACGTTCAATCACAATTTCCCAGTAAAAATTTTAGATATTCACTATTCTCAGCTCAGGTCACTTTCCAGTAGGCAAAGTTGCTGCAGACACATTGCAAATTGAAGTTCTGTGCAATTGCAACTAGGGTATAATGAATAAAAGCAGTAAAGGTGAAAATGTTATCCGCAAAATTATAATGTTTCAAAGTTACTTAATGTATGCAGTATGCAGCAAGATAATCACTATGGGTTTGTGAGCGTCCTGACCGCTGTCATGAATGTTATGACAATGAGCTGCACCGATCACCATCTCGTCGTCACTTTTCCCACCTCACTCGCCGATGCAAGGGAAAGCCATTAACCTGAACGACCTGGGCCTATACTTTCAAAAAAAGTTAAGAGATCGTAAGTTCATCAGCCAATCATTGACGGCCTTTCAAGCAAAATCCACCAATCGTAGACAAGAAAGTAGAGCGTAAGTACTTACGTTCACTTAGCCAATTTTGAAAGTATAGGCCCTGAAGACAGTAGAGAAATGGCCGATCCTTCAGGCAGGTGCTGCTAGCTAAAGAAAACTAGGGCTAGCTAAACTACAAAAGAGTTACGGTAAAAATCAACTGGAGAAAGTATATATGCAAATAAGTTGTAGTTTATTTCAACATTCGGATAAAATTTCTGTACCTTGATAATATGCAATATATTACAGGTTTCACAAATAATTCGAAGGGGTATAATTTACTTAACATAAGCCTCAAAAAGGCAAAAAAGCCCTAACCGCAGGTTGGAAAGTTTATAGGTGTTTATACGCGGGGGAAGTATTAGCCGATATATTAGCGGCAAATACTTTCTCTACGAATATCAAGCTAATTTCTTCTTCAGACGACAGTAGCTGGGAACAGTTAAAAGGTTTGCAGTTAAAAGGTATATTTTTTGTGCCGGAAAGCGACACCAGTTGGGCTGGAGGAACCGTGAAGTGCGCATCTGTGGCTCTCCGTGAGTTCAGGAAACGAAGTATATGATGCTTCAAGTTATCTCTCGTCTTGCCCAGTCTTTCATCCACACTCTACGTTGATCGACGAATATTTTTCTCCTCAGCTAAAAAACGATTTCATCAAAAGCGTTCTCAAACTCGTCATTACTCTCGCACTCCAAATTCTTCCACCGAACACGAACTTCGCTCGAAGGGTTCTGACGACGCACTGAAACTTGCGGACTAGAAAATGTTGTTTAGCTAAAACTTTCCTCGTGTATAAGCTTTCAACCGGCAAAAATAGAAGAGGAAAGTAATTGCTGCTGATAATATCGGCTAAAACTGTCCCTGTGCATGAACACCTTACTTTTCCTAGTTTTGACCTTCAGGAAAATTCATGCCTAGTTACTTGGCAATAAAGACTGCCTTAATAGCAGCACTGCCACAACAACCGCACTCAATCAAAAAGGGTTTATTGTATCAATCCACTTTGCAATATCAAAGCTAATATCAAAAATTTAAATTTTGCAAATGCATGGTCTCTCGTACCTACCGGCATTGAGTCAGACCAGCACGGGGTAAGCAAGGAAGGAAGTGCAAGTCACTGCGTCCTACCTTCAGATGCCCACGCTAGACAGAGAAAGCAAAAATTTGATGCTGGGTGCACAACGGAGCCCAGTTTTGCTCGACTTCATATTCCTTTTCCCTATTCATTTCCATGGACAATAGCACTGCAGGTCATAGTAGCTCAAGATGTCGAGCAGTCTCGTAATGCGAAAAACAAGTATGTCAAAATTCTTGTGAAAGTTCTTTTCTGGGAATACAGATTACAGAAGCAAAAATGACGAAAAAACGCAACACGCGCTGTAATAGGGTTAAGCGAAGTGCAAATGAGTGTGCACTACAAATGTCAAATTTGCGGACTTTTCGCAGAATATTAAAGTATTTAATTGAGGAAGAAGCACATTTAGTACTATAGTGGCTAGAATATTGTAATACTTTACCCATCGGCTGACAAATTGAATTCGAAGCAGTAGTGGGACAATATAGTTTCGAAACTATATTTCGAAAGACAATATAGTTTCGTTTCAGACTGAATAATTTAGGTAACATAATTCAAACACTATAATTTACCAATTTAGGTGAATTTCAGCACAAATTTGAATAGATAAGTGCACAAATTAAATAAAAATCATTTCGTTGTAGATTTTAAGAACGCGGTTTAAATGAGCACCCTTCGCTTTTTGTCATTGTCGATAATTATTAAATAGTTTTGTATAGTTTCTGCAAAAACATACACCATATACCATCACAATAAACTTCCAGATGCACCATCAAAGGTTGGAGTTTCAACCCAGACACCACGCATGCGCTGCCCCGCGACATGAGTACCTGCTCCACTTTATCGCTAATATTATGGGCGAGCTTGTAAAGCTTGGGAATAAATGAGCGCACTTGCTTTCTGGCGCGACCAACAGTGTTCATAAAGAAGGAATTTTTTACCAAAAGTTGTCTCCAGGGCATCGACTTTCTATTTTCTGATGCTGGGATTATTTAAGTTGCATAGGACAAAATAATAAGAGGCAAAATGGCATATTAGCTAGACTCTTTGTAGAAGTGTCATTCGTCTATCAATTTCAACATATCTCGTTCATAAATTCAAGTTTTGATTTCATTTTACTAATTTAATATTATTGAATTTGAAACTTTCACTTGTAAATAGATATCCTCAGAACGTTTCTTTTGCTTTGCACTTGAACTAATTCTGCGATACAAAAAAATTATCTTGTGGCGTACGAATAAGTACAAAACCAGGAATTTTCATTCCTACCACATTATGAATTCAGCTTCTACTTGTGGAAAAAACAACATACTGAGAAGTGGGTGAACCTGTGGCCGCACCAGTGGAATGTATGAGTCGTCAGTCTGTTCATTTTGTGGCGGCCGCTCATTTTGTCTTGGAATGGAGTCGACGCTTTACAGCGAAGAGTAAACTCGTAAAATGGCATGAAAATCGCTGCGCTATAAATGCCCGGAACTTCTCTCCGGCCTATGCATACATTGAAGGCAGTCTCGTGAAATTCACGGTGGTGAAGGAGTATGAAGACGAGCGTTCATTACGCGTCGAGCGCCTCTGCTATTTTTCCCTACATTTAGCTGGCCGTCTAAAGCAGGGTCGATAGTTGGCCGATTGTAACATGTGAATAATTTTCGTGTGTGAGTTCATAGCTACGAGCACAAAACCCGCAGTCGATTTTTTTGTACGGATCGCTGAAAGCTAGGGATATTATTAGGCATGCAATATTTGTTGTGCATAGCAGATTGAATAAAATCCGATGGTGTTTTGGTGCCCGATTGATGTCATCGCAATGGATAATACATGAATTAAGTTTATTTCACTTAACGTATTATTCGGATAAAAATATCTGCAACCCTACGTAGAAAAAATAAAACGGTTGATTATGTAGGAGAAATTGTTTAATATTTTGCCAGCGCTCAGTCAATTATTCAGAGTTTTTGTCAACAGTTTACAAGTAGTATTAATTTAAAATGGGCGTTGACAGCTGTTTCTTGATGAAAACCAGAGCCTATACTTTCAAAAAAAGTTGAGAGATCGTAAGTTCATCAGTCAATCATTGACGGCCTTTCAAGCCAAATCCACCAATCATAGACAAGAAAATAGAGCGTAAGTACTTACGTTCACTTAGCGAGTTTTGAAAGTATGGCCCCGGAGCCGAAATAACAG